AGACATATTCTCTATGTTCTTGCAATGKTTCTTTCCTTTCTGGCCCAGCTGCCATCGTGTCCAATCTCTCATCAACTGGATAGCCTTTTGGAAATTTTTGGAGTAATTTTACTGTTTTTTGTATCGATTCCGGGTCCATTTTTTCCACATTTGCCGCAGCAAATAATGCAGCGTCTTGACCCAGACTTTCACGGCTATCAATTCAGAGGTCGAAATGTCTTCATAGATTATGCCAATCAAAGGCATCTCTTTTGGTTGAACACGGGTGAGCTTCCAGAAACTATGGCCCATGTTACAGCAGGAATATCTGTTGAATTATCACGACTGAACAGAAGGGGTAGAATGAGACAAAGGAGACGAAACACAAAACTTTCAAACATCAACAAAGTACTAGTGGTATTTCTATGGCTGCGAAAATATCCTTGTCTTGATACATTGGCATTAATTTTCGATATCAGTCCATCGACTATTTCAAGTCTTATAAATCAGGTTGTGCCTATTCTATGGCGATATTTTCAGAATCAAGTCTCTTGGCCAAGTCTAGTATATTGGAACTCTCTGCGAGGAAACTGGCGCTATTTTCCAAACGCAGTAGGGTGTATAGATGGTACACCGCATGAAATATACAGGCCTCAAGTTGAAGACYAGCGAGAGTTTTTCAGTGGACATCGCCATTACCACATAATGAACACTCAACTGATTGTAGACAACAATGGAAATATTGTTTTTCTGCAAGCTGGTTTTCCTGGGTCTTTAAATGATGCTGCGAATTTCAATTTAATGGTTGATATTGGACCAGGCACGCATTACGATATGCCTGCAGGTGTGGTACTACTTGCTGACAAAGGGTATGGAGATGTCGCTCCACTACTGACCCCCTTTCGTGCTATACAAGTCAGACGTCTGCCGATCCACGAGCAAAGAATGGCTCGTAAATTTAATAAAAGGCTTGCAAGGTGCAGAATTATTGTAGAACAGACAATAAAGCATGTCAAAACATACCAGTCTGTGGGTAGCATATGGCGTCACCCTAGATGGCTTCAACCAATAGTAGTAGAGCTCTGTCCTTTTTTGGCTCAGAGGCATGTGGTCCTTTTTGATGATATGTAATGCGAATATATTAGACTAATGGATAAACATTTAGAAAATAACGAATTTTTGTTTTGAGAGATCTAGATATTTGAACAATTAAAGTATACAATTATACTAATTTTCCCATTTTCCAAGCTGGTTTACTCACGCAGAAAAGAAAACAAGTAGTGTTTTGCATATTTAGTGAACTTTTCGCTCATTATCGTCGTTGTTGAAGTTATGCGAAAGATCTCTAATAGATCGTTTACCAACAAAGTTAAATTTATTATTAGATACGACACCACCAAAACATCTTATTATTGTTCTAATAAGGACCATGTAGCAGATTATCAGAAATCTAATGTAATTTATAGACTAACATGTCCTGGTTGCTCCCAAACATACATTGGGAAAACCGATCGATGTCTGTATTTTAGACTTAATGAACATGCTAGGCGAAAAGATCAACCTATGTTTAAGCACTTAGTAGATTGTACTCTGTTCAGTGATATAATGAGTCTCATGGGATTGCCCAACGTAAACGATGAGCACTCAGTCATGGTTGACTTCGACGCGTATATTYATRATGCWGTTCACRGGAACTTTGAAGTCATTGACACGAGTGACAACTGGTCCCGGTTGGAATTCCTCGAGGCCTATTACATCAAGAATTTACGTCCGGGAATTAACGACGGCTTGAAAGCCTCTAGAGAATTAAACTTGTTTTAAATACAATTGCAAAATTGTAAAATAATTAACATGATTATGGTTCTGAAATAAACCGAAATATTGTTGAACAACGTCTCGTTTATAATCCAAATTTTGGATTTTACGATGTTATCCTTCCTCGGACTCGTTTTTGTCATTCTATACGCTAACCCAAGCCACGTTATATCAACTGTTATTCGTTTGAAGTAAGACTGATACAAAAACTGCCAGC